AAAAGGAAAACAAGGAGAACTAAATCCATATCAAAACATGAATCATGAGGATATGACTTCATGCAGGCACACGCAAAAGATTGTACACTACTTGGAAAATGAAGTATACAAGTTTTTCAGGTTCACACTCAGAAGATGACTTTCAATTCAATTACTGAACTGACTCGCTTCCCAAGCTTGCTTGGTTTTTGTTTTTTTCTTCTCCAAATGTAAGAGCTGTCAGCTGGAGCCCAGCGTAAACAACTAATATCAGAAAATATGGCATAAAATAGAACATCCCTTGGAAAAGGAACTGAACCAAAAGTAATTTGTGACTGGTCACTTTAGTCACATTAAGTGCAACACAGATGCTCTTACCTCCCCTTTATAGAGGCACAGGACAAAACAACGATCTAGTCTTAGAAAATGCTGAAGTACTTCAGTGAGGTTCAGCACAACCCGGTCAGGCAGCTGATGGCGCGCACTAGCACAGGATTGGGAGCTGAGGCTGTCAAACACCTCACGAGACAGCCCTTACAGAGCAAGGCATCCCTTCACCACCAGGTACCAACCCCAACCAGCTGTTCAAAATTTTTGTTTGGCAGATGTGCAGACAAGCAGACCTGTCAGAAGTCATACAGATTACAATTTTTTTTTTTTTTTTTTTTGCCATGCTAGTCTGGAATGGCTCTGAGACAACACAATGCAGTCAAAACTCTTTTTGAGGAAAATAAGCCCTCTTCTGTGAGATCATCTCTTTCTTTCTAAATTCAACCTAAACTAAGCAGTCCCAAAACACAGTGAATGTGGTTAACAAGCACTACCCTCACTCCCTTCTGTATGTCATGGGTGTTTTGCAGGTATTTATGGGCTAATGAAATAATGGGTTCTACCTTTTTTCTATCAAGTAATTCCAGAACTTACCAGACCATTAAGAGTTCAAATGTACATGCTCAACTATGCAAAACAGCCGCAGACAGCATTTAAAAAAAGAAAATTTTACCTTCCTTTGTGAGGTCTTCCTCTTTCTGGCACGCCTGCAGATGTCCTCCGGTTCACAGTGGAATAATCAGGATCCAGTTCATATCCTTCATCATCTACTCCAAGGCTGCGGTTATCATCTTCCAGTCCATAGGGCTCTGGTTGGAAAAGCGGTTCAAGTCAACATTGCTACCCACCGGCACCTGAGGCTGGGCAACAGGACCATAGTTATCCCTTCTGCTTGGCAAAGTGAAGCTACCATCATCTGGCCGGTAGCTGTTTCCTGGCATGTAGGCATAGCGAGGACGGTAGTTGACACCACGAGACAAGCTGCCGTAGTTATCAGATAGATCTCCATAACCATCGTGACCAATATAAGGGCGATATTGGCCGTCGTGGCTTTCAGGGTAAGAATCGTTGTAGTTGTTGTAAGATCTGGTTAACGTGGATGATGCTTGTGGTGTGATGTACCGCTCCCCATTCTTCATGTACCTTCTGTCTATTGAATCTGTGTAGCTGCCCATGGGAGACGAGCCATCCATTGACGGCAGGCCATCGGGCCCAAGTGGCACCTGACGCACTGTTCTGGTGGTGACTGTTTTGACCATTTTGGTAACCTGTGAAGAAGTAGCGAATAAATATGTTAATTTTCTCCTTGCTGCACAATGTGATGAGACATATGGGGAGCTAGAACAGTAAAACGGGGAGAGAGCACCACAAAGCATACTACAGTGATGTGCCCGTTGGATGGAAACACTGGTGCACTCCTGAGTTCACCTATTAGGTTTAGGATTTAACAGAGGAAAGGTATTTCTATAGAAAGCTGAACAGATGAGTCACAGAGCCAGAGTTAAGGGTATTCTGGTGCTCTTACTACCAAATCTAAAACACTACAGCTGTGTGACAGTGCATGGAAGCAGTGTAAAGTCATTACACCAGTTCAAATCTGCCCAAAATGTTTTCGTGAGTCATCTCTCCTAGAGTAGACTTACGATGTCGAGCCACAGCCTGTCCTCCCACAGTAAGCACCAGTACCACATCACATTCTCTAGTTTGACATAAATGCAGTTACATGTTCCTGCCCGATCTGGATCAAGCTTGTACTGCTGTGTACCTTGATGCAGCTCAGATGCGGTAGTAGTATTTAAGAAACTATGAACTCAAACAGAAAAGTTTCAAGCTTAGACAGCACAACTACTTTCTCTTTTAAGATATGCTTACAACACATGAGCCAACAGGTAGTTAGTGTCTTTCCATTAGTTTGGTGACTAACAAATTTGCAATAATGAACACTAACATCACACAGCTTTTGCAACTGCAACTACCCTAAACATACTGGGCTACACAAGCTCATCAAAAAAAATTAAAGCAATACCTGCACAAAAATACATCTTCACCTTTTCCTCCTGTAAATCACATTTCATTTAAACACAATAGAATTAAACAATTTCACATAACTGACACAATCTGGAAATGGTCAGTGTCCAGAGGGCACTTGTGTTCAAAGTTTCTTGCTAAAGGGTAGGAACAAAGAGTCCCCAAGAGTTTCTAAGAACATTCTGCCTTCATGGGAAAAGTCTGCCAATCTGTGTAAGACAGTGCTGGACAAAAGCCACTGCTATTTACAAACTAGCAAAAGATCTTCTGTTTTGGTCAGTATCTGGGGGTCCATCAACTTCTGTCCTGTCTTCCAGAATGACCAGCAAAAGCTTTTTTGGGCAGAATACCAAGTCCAGCAGAAGCCAATCTATCCTTGGTTACCCTAACCCTAATAAAGTCACTTTAACCTATAAAAGTTACCCTAACCCTCGTAAATGCTGACTTTCAGCCCTTTGTAAAAAAAACCAACCAAACAACACACCCACAAAGATGAGAGGGAGAATCAGCCCAGCAGAGAGTGTTACACACAGGGAGGAGAGGAACACAACATGGTTTTAAGAGGTGTTTTGGGTTTCTAAAGGATACAGAGGTAAATAAGCATCAGGAAACAACACTTCTCTTCATGGAAGCCACAGAATGAAATGTGTACATCCAGAGAAACAGTAACTATAACATGTATGCCTGGATTGCTCAGTGGGTCTGAAGCCCAAATAGATATTTTGACCTATAGCCTCTGATTTAAACATTTAGATTGGCAGTAAATTAGCCAAGCTGCTGCTAAACAAAATAATTAGAGTACATCTCTTGAAGTGGCTCCAGACATGTCCTCTAGCCAGATGTTTTCACACAGAAACCCCAAATAGAAAAAATTCACCCAAACAGCATTTTTTTTTCCTAGAGACATCTGTTAGCAAATGATACTTCAGCCTAATGAAGAAATGAAATCCTGCAAGACTGAAAGCAGCACAAACGCCTCTCCACCAGCAGCATAATTGAACAGCATCGCGATGCTGAATAAAGCACAGCCAGGTACCAACAGGACCTTAGCATCTAATTTGGGCCAGAGACAAAAGACTTTTCCTGTTCAACCCAAAGGGATTTCCTTAGCAAGTAAATGTCAGGAAAGACGCTGGCTTCTATGCCTCCAAATCTTCTTTTTTCCTTTTTTTTTTTTTTTTTAAGCACACATTTGAATAACTAAAATAAAGGAAACTAGAAACTAAACATTTATTTCATGACACAGATTCCAACAACAGTTTTTGCTTATTACCTGCACACAATACTTCTACTTTCCACTCAGTTATCAGCATGACTGCTGTCGTGGCATTTATAAAACCAGACAGCGTTGAGAGAAGAAGGAGAGTTGGCGTAGCACACAGTAGCTCTTTGTGAAGCGGATATACACAAGGCAACACAGCTCAGTGTTCTCCTACTGAAGTCCAAAACAAAAGTTTTATTGAAAGTAAGAGATTCATAAGTGATCTTCTAAGAGTAGAAAAAGCAAAATTTCTCAGGCTGGAAATATGTGAGTTTTGCAAAGCAATGACAAAACTGGATGCAAAGTGCTGGGCCTTTGACGTTCATGAATTTGGGAACCAGTAACAGGAACAACAGAAAGTCAGGTAGTGTTTAATGGATTTGACACACCAGAAATTGATACTTTTGCCCAGGAAGGAAGGAAGAAGCAGCTTTCTAGATGGCAAGAAGAGTACTCGCATAACCTCACAAAGCCCTTTCTTTCAGCACTAACAGCAGGAGCTCAATATTTTAAATCTAATTTTGAGTTTTGCTTTTCAAGACATAGGTTGCTATGCACGTGTAGCTTGTCATGTGTAATTTCTCATGAAGTTGTCAAGATCAGACAATGCAAGGTATCCAATACACCACGCGTGGTTGCAGCAACAGCATGAAAGGAGCAAGCTTTGACCTGCAGGATCCTCGGACAAAGGCTTTGCAGAGCTGGCATCGCTGCTGTATGTCCTCACCCAGCATTCCTACCGACAGCTCTCTCTTGCTCACTTTTGACTTTTTTTCTTGAGAATCATTGTTATTGTCAGACAGGATGAGGTAACGTAACACAGAAATATTACAGCAAGGACAACTGCCTACCAATACTCCATACATGTTCTGAAATTCTGCTTTGTCTCTTGTGTACACCTTGAAAATCAATTCCCAGACAATTTGTGACTTAACAGTTACACTCAATGAGTTTTTCACTATGCTCTGGTACTCTACCGAGTACCTACAGAGTTTTTTTTAAATATGACCAACACCGAACACAGGAGATTAATCTACATTTTTTTCCCCAATTTGCCTTATTTCCTCTCTCCAAGCCCAGCACAGACACGTTTTCAATGGCTGTGGCTAGTCAAAAAGACACACTGAGCATCAGCCAGCACATGTAAGAACAGGTTTACAGTGTTAGCACAGCTTCAGCTCTGTCATTTTCTGAATGCTGCCCCTATTAACAAGTGGAAAGAATCAGGACAATCACAACCCCTTGTCAGACAAATAAAAGGAACCATTTCACTGAAGCATTACAGTGCACATCTCTTACAGCATAAAAGCATTCAATAATGCTGAAGGTGTTGTGGTGGGGGAATCAAACCGAGTCTTTTTATATTTTGAGAGAGAGGGAGTATTTGTACTCATACCTCATTTGTCAGGGGGAGGCATTGAGATAGAAGATTTATCATGTGATAAACAGACTTTGTTGCCTACAGGACAATAAAGGGAAGCTTTTTGGAAGCAATTAGCCAGCACCCAGAGGAAGGTCCATTTATTAGGTTTCCAAGCAAAAAAAAAAAAACCCAGCAAAACAAACATCTTTATTTCAGGAAATCCAGCTCAAGGGAATGTTTCATTTATATTTCTTAAAAGAATACAAGCAGTCTCGAGCAGCTGACAGCACACTAATCTTCTCTCCCAACATTTTTGTGGTTTCCTTAATACTGACACATTAGCCAGAGAGAACGAAGCCATGCCAAACGGAGTCCCAGCAGACTGCCTTATCTGAGAGACACCTGATCCTCCAGATGCACCTCATCTTGAGAAAGATTTATTAGCATGGGCTCCTCACTACAGATACGCTCTAATGAAAAATTTAAAGCTACAAGTTACTTTGAGAAAGTGTAATTGGACTTCCTCTGTTTACTTTCCATCTCTAAAGAAAACCTATTTAAAGAGGGTTTTTTAGCCTGATTACATATCAAAGGTGATCAATTGTTTCAACAGGACAAGACCAAAGCTTCAGCTTACTTCGCTATGAAGAGGCTGTCTGACTATGCTTAAAAGATATTTGCAATTCTGTATTCCCTGTGAACTATAGTAAGGTTTCAACCACAGTAAAAAAAGTTCCACAGTAAAAAAAGTTCCAATGTATCAACTTATTCAGGCCCTCTGCAACAAAGATCCGATGGTATTGCAATTGGTGCTTCCATTGCTGTGCCCTCCACCCCAGAATACAACTACATTTCAGGTTCACTGACCTTACCACTGTTCTCCCCTCCAGCTAACAATCATTTTGTTAAATAATTCCCCTACAGGAACCCGTGACAATGTTTTCACTAATTCTGTTTCTGGAAATATATTTGCCAACAGACCACAAAGGAAATATTCTCACATTTGAAGCAGCTTCCATATTTTTCTGTCCCTCATCCTTCTATTTGTCTGAAGGATGGGAGAAGAAACAGGAAAACATCCAGTGATTTGACTTACTGGATGCATGGTACAACTACATCCCCCAAAGAGCACAGTACTGAGAGGAGGGAAGACAGTATTCAGATTTGAGATGAAATGAGCCATCGTGGTCAGATACAGTCATCTCAACCAGTACCTATAATTTTGCCTTCCATTTTGTTATTGAGGTCGGTTTTGTTTTGCCCTTTTTTTTTGATAAATTAAGTAGATTATAAAAGCTGAGAGGACTAAATATTTTGTTGAAACTATGTCATAAAACAAAACAACAAAAAAAAACAGATGAGAAGGAATGTGTGAGGATAAAAGCATTCTGACATTTCTGAGAGCTTATTTTGTAACTACAGACTGTAAAAATTAATCAGCCCAAGCAGGCTGAAGCTATTACCTTTCTATTAAATGCTGTGTAAGAACTCACCCCGTAGGTTTTCAAAACAACAGCTCAAATTTCTCCCCTTCAATTTTAAGCTGTGTTTCACATTCTCAAAGGGCCCTGAACTTCACCTGAAATCAAATATTACCTAACTCCCTTGAATTTTCTGCAAAGTTTCAAAGAACTGCATCTCAGGGTACCTGGCACCACCACAATCACACGCACGTTCCCATTGCTGGTGCTAGGAAGTGGGAGCAGCAGCTAATCACTGTTGGGAAAGATCTGGCCTCGCTGAGTATTGGAAAGCACAAGGCAAATGGGATGGACTGGAAATGAAACAACTTGGTATACAGACTGATTTCACAGTTTGTTATCATAAAACATAATTTTCAATGAATAAAATAAAATCTCTCCAATCTTTTAGCATTTCAAAGATAAAAGATGCCCGAAGGAAAGAAAAAAAGCAAACATTAACCCAAGCACACACACATCTAATTTGCTTTACTGGGGTCTCTTGGGCCACTTACCAGCAGGCTCCCTGACACACGTGGCAGTGCTCCAGCTGACAGGCAAGGAGCGCTAGTCTTCTCCCCAAGGTGACTTTCACTGTTTTAGCATGATAGGTATTTGGCTTCCAGAGCGATTATAAAGTTGAAATTAAGTATTATCTGCCACATCTTTCGTGCAGTGAATGTTATGTAGGGTCTTAGTCAATACAGTACTAAGAGTAACAGTTTGGGGAAATTTACTCAGATATCTCATTTTCAAATGGCAAATGTTCTCTATTTAAAATATGTCAAATATTAAATTCTATTATGCTTTCGTCCTGCTTCACTGCTACACACATCTTCAGAAATGCAGGGAAAAGCACAGCAAACCTGTCAATGCTTGTGGATTAAGGTTGTTTACTTAATACACTACTGAAGAGAATAACCTCTATTAATTATGGTTTTGAAACAAAAAGGGGGAAAAAATAAAGGAACAGCAGCATACAGGAGCAGTGATGTTTACAGCTTTTTCTGTGCTTCAGTTCAAGAGGAGGAATTTCAGAGGCATCACTCACCAGCAAGCTAAAGATTCATAAGATTTAGCAAAAAGAAATGACAATTTCTTTGGAAGAATGCAAAAATGCACACTGAGTGGCATCAGACTGACTAATCCCCACATAAACTACCCAGCAAAGAAAGCATACATTTGGAAAACATCTCTGGTCTCTGACTCTTAAAACAAACCTGACCTGTGTGATTTACACTGTCAGAGGAAGCATCTCCTGCTGTCGCTTTTTTTGCAAGATAAATATGCTGGAGATTGCGACTGGCACTGTTCAGCAGAGCCTTCTAGTTACAGAGGTAACAAAAATAGGTTCTAAACCCTTCCTCAGAGAAGTCTAGAGCAAGCCCAGCACTGCAGAGCATATAAAATCTTTATTTGCGTGTTGTGCTAACTACCTTCACTTAGCTGATTGCTCAAGAAAAAAAAAAAAAACTTGAGCAAAAACCTACCCCCCCCCAACATTTAATCAACACAGTGTGACAATCTCAACTTGAAACACTACCCGTATTAAGCAACAGATTAGATATTACTGAAAATAGCTGTCAGGATTCCCACCATAGGAGGTGTTGCTCCTTTTCATGGATGAGAAGTACACGCACACTAAAGCAACGCCAGATTGATGGGGTTTCTTGGGTGGAGTGTTTTGGTTTTTTTCTTTTATGTACATCTGGGAAGGAACAGGCAGAGCCACGGAACAGCAGCTTCTGGGCTCAGAAGAGATCCTGCTGCTGCATAGTGCGTGCCCAGCGGACGTGTGTTTGCATCTCTCATCCCAGAGAAACACCTTCTTTCACCGTTGTCATCTGAGCAGCAAGGTCAGAGTTTTGCCACTGCACAGAGATACCTGGAAACTTAATTTTCTCTGTAAGGCTCTCATATATAATAGCATGACCTATAAAAGCACTATGATGATACCTATTAGAAGTGATAGTAAGTCGATGCCAATTAACTCCAGGACACTTAACTGATGCCACTAAAACCCAGTGACAACAGTTTTCATTTTCACATTCCCTATCAAATCAAAAAGTTGAAGACCAATGTAATTAAAAAAAATAATCTGACCTCAGGTTCATATCTAAGAGCTGTTAAATCTATGCCATATTATCACAGCAAGGAAAAGTCAAACCAAAGCCATTTCAGAGACAGCCACCTCAGCAAAGGCACGGCACCTCTCCCGGCGCGGCAGGGCTCAGACAGCCCCATCTGTGGTTCGACATTTCAGAATCGCTATTCTCAACAACTGGATTTTTTTAAAGAGTTGGTCTTTTCAGCCATGAGATACTAGGAAACACCTCCAGATGCCACGTAAGTTGAAGTCAGTGGCATTATCTGAAAAAACACGAGCGCAGAGCAAGACAGCTCGGTGCCCTCCCCCCATCCTGGCCACACTGGAATGAAGTACGGCAAGAGGAGAAAGCCTTGCTCTGTGAAACAGAACAGTAGCTCCAGGGTTGCTGTTTTCTCAGTTGTCTTTTCCCATATGCAGGTACAACGCCTGTTTTGGAGATGCCACTGTCCTTTTCTGTGGGAAGATCGAAAAATAGCAGGAACGCCACACTCGGGAGAAAATCACACCTTTTACACTATGCCAAACGCGCAGCTTTATCAGAGGCATGACTATTTCAGACAAACTATTTCACTCCATGTGGTCTCGTTATCTGGGGACCACTGCATGGCCTCTCCTCTATTTTTACAGTCATAGCTATTATTTTATCCCCTTACATAGCTGCACTTACAGTTTCCTAAAACTATGCACTACTACTAGTGCATATAAAGAGGTGTTCATCACCACTGTAATTTGATTGCTTCCTTCCTGTAAATAAGTTGTTGTTGTTGCCACTAGAAAGAAAATAGTTTTTTTTCAAATATGTCACAGATTAAATCCATTAGATTATTTTAAGAGCTAATAAAAATTCGGGGTTTTTTTGTTTATTTTTATTTTAAGACTCTCATCTCCTTCCAACAATGAGAAAATAGGCCAGTTATATTTATCTCCCAGCTAGCTGCAGCAAACATAAAAACAGCTACTCAGTTTATAGCAATGTGTGTAGGCCCACCAACCTCAGGAAATCAACGCTCACTTCATCAACTCCAACCTGAGGATCTGATGTCCTGAACAGACATCTTAGAGGACTGTAATTCTGGAACACCAGTAAAAATAAATCCTGATTTATGCAGCGACCTCTGTTCAACTCCTTGTTACACAGAACACAGTTGGACAGTCTCTTTTTTTTTAAATCAGTGCTGTTCCAAAGTTTTTAAAAAGGGAATCAACCTTAATCTTTCACAACACCAAAACCTAACAAAGATGTTAGCTCAACTTCCAAGACCCAAACGTCAAGGCAGATTAGTGTTCCAGTGGCACCTGAACGCCTAGAAGGCAGGCAGCTGTGAATATACAGCACCTTCTCAGCAGAGACTGCAAAATTATCTTACACCAGGGAACAAAAAGGCATCAGGAAAATCAGGACATATGCAACACTTGTCATCCAGCAGAACTTGAGGTACAGGCCACCAGAGAACACACCCAGCCTTCCCCGTGCATCAGGAGGAAAATTCCATTCACAAGATTGTTGCAGAATTTAAATGCTGGGGTGTTAGTTAAATAGGATGTTTCTTGTTCTAAAGGACAAACACATAACTGCACATTGTTATTACAGATCATAACTAATTTGAAGATATATTTCCAAGCACATTTTCCTCAGCTGCATAACTAATTCACTCCAGGCCCTACCAACTCATCCAATTCTTGTATCACCGTACGTGTTTGCAGGGCAATGCTGCGAACAGTTCCAGTAAAATAAAGTGAACCTTGAAAGAATAAATAATCTGAGAAGGGGTTCTAGTGTTGCTGTTTGGTTAATCTGGATAATTTCTACTGTTCAGTTCACAGCTCCATGAACAGCTGTATAAGGAGCAAACTGGACAGAGGCAACACTGAAGCAGCCCTGAACTCAGCTTTGCTGGCAAACAGAACATTCAAAATCAGAGGATCACAACAGCAGGATGGTCAGCACCCATGCTACCCCTTGCTATTTTTATTGTGTGATTAGTTGGTATTTTGCCATTTTCCTCATTGGTTATTAACCTCTCACCTTGGTTTCAGTTCTCCTTGTGGTTCCATCTTCAGAAGTGACAATAGACACATGGGAAGTGGGAGTGCCCGGGTCTTCCTCCACAGTAACTGTCTCTTCCACCATTTCTTGAGGCTCTTGCATCATTGCTATTGATGTCTGGTTACTCGGGCTTTGCTCCTAAAGAAGCAGATAAAAAAAAATAACTTCTCACTACAACCATCATGGTAGAATAATGATTCTATTGATTTCAGCTTTCTCAACTGAAAAACACATTTTACTTAACAACTTGCAAGTAGAGATTCAGAGAAAGAAGCATTTACTGTCTCAAGAAAGCACGCTGCAACGATGCTGGTGTGGCTGAGCTCAGCTCAGTAAATGGAAATCACGTGAAGCATCTATCAAAGTCTTCATATTTATACACAACATACTACAGACTAAGAGACTACTACCTTATAGTTAAACCTGCTTTAAGCTTTCTCTTCAATGCCCAGTGTCGGAGTGGAATTTTTGTCTGCAAAACCATTCATTCTGTTCTGCAGTGAACACAACCATTGGGTTTCAGAGCAGTTAATCTTACACACCATTAAAAGTTTATTTCCATTTGATAAAATACACTGAGTTGCAGACCAGAGAAGGCTATAAAATATCAAGACCTCCTATTAAACTGACACCTTTCTCAAACTGTCCAAAGCAACGATAATTTAAAAAAAGGGACAGCTAGAGCTCAATAGCTGAATTATGTGAAATGCCAGCCTTCTGACATCTCCCCTTCGCTAAAGGGAATCTAACTGGCTGTAAGCTTATTTAAAATTTATAACAGAGAGAAAACATAAAGAAACACTAAACAGAAAGAAAGTAGATTAAAGGCCAGTTCTTGCAGGGATACTGCCCAAAGAGAACATTTCTGCTTCACACCAGCACCAATGCCTGAACTTTCCTTTTTCTCCTGCAATTGTGCGTCTCGGCACAGAAGACAGAGCAGCTCCCCTTGGGTAGATGAATGTATTTCAGAAGTTTCACAGCAAGTGGCCAATAAAGAACCAGCTTACATACCGAGAAATAAGACTTTTCCCCAGTGTTATGAATCCTCAACTACGTAAAATGAAACGACAGACTGTTCAATTCATTATATGCCCTGAAGGTATCAGGCTACACAAGCCTCAAAGCCAAAGCACGGCTTCTATTTGCACATCTTGTCAAACAGGCACACAAAGAACACCCTTTATTAAGGAATATATATATACACACACATGCAAATACACACACACAAATATACACACACAGACACTTTTTTTAATTACAAAAAAAGAGAAGGAACGACACGGGGCCCTAAATCGCAAGGTAAATACACTTCCCCTGAAGAAAACACTGTGGGCAAACTGAGCGTACTTTTTCACATCACAGCAAAACAAAACGATTGGCATGAAACTGTTGCTGTGCTGAGTCTAATTACATAAAGGTTTAAATTTTCTCTACCTGTGACAGGCTTCATCACTAGGGAACACTTTATTTTGTAACATTTTCTTCAGAAAAATTGCACTTCATCCCAGTGATGAACTTTGGATTGTCCCCTTTGCTGTGCCACACTTTGTGCAAGCCCTAAAGGACAGGATCCTTCCAAGCGACTTGATGTTACTGAGCAGGAGCAGGGCACCGAGGTCTCATTAAGCTCCACAGGGAAAAGTGCCTTTTTATCCTTGGGTGATCTATTATCTCCCTTGAAACAAGCAGAGATGCCTCTGTTCAGTTTCCTTTATTTACAGCTGTATTCTGACATTCTGGAACCCGGACATCAGCAAGGAAGCCGCTTTCATTCTCAGGTAAGAGCTAATATTAACCAAGATGGTAACAATAAACCTCAGGCAATCATCTCAGTCAAAATGCAACATGGACAGCCTTCAGAGATAACACACCTGGACCACCAGACCCCATAGCAACAGGCATTACTCCCATTTCTGTTGAAGCCACAGAACAACTCAGGCTAAAGAATCAATCAACAAGAACAAGGCTTCTGAAATCCTAAAGCAAATCCCTCCTTTCAGTCTGCAGTACCAAATCATTACAGCCGGTAACGCAGGAGACGCACTGCATGCTCTGTGGTAGGGTTCAGATGTCAGAGGGTGTCTTCTGTCCACAGCTTCAGAAGGGAAACTAGCTCCTGGGACAGATGTATTAATCTCTTCACATTTTTCTTGAAAATACTATATTCTAACTGCAACTTCCTTCTCCCCACCCCACAGTGAAGCTTCCCTCTAAACAGAAGAATTTACACAATATTGCAATACAGTAAAGACTCAGAACTTCTACTGATCTTCATGCAACCCCAGACTTGCCAACAGCAAAGAAACCAGTTACAGGTAGAGATGTTTTCCATTACATCTTGCCCCTGTAAACCTCCTCATCATCTCCAAGGCACTGAATGCCAAAACTGCTTCAAGGTGGGACCTTCTCACTGCCTTCACACACTTATGTACACTCACATCTCATCCATCATCCTTATTTCTAGCTGCATCTTGAGGCGACTGCATGAATTTATGTCTCTTCGTTCCCCTCTAGATTCTTCAGAGTCAAACTCTGCTTTGTGATAATAAACCCGAGGAGATGGAAGGTGAAAGAAGTATTTTGCTTTTTGAGCTTTTGCACAACTTTATGAAAAAAATAAAGTCTCCCTTTGTATTCAGACTGCCTGTGGGCAAAGGAAACCTTTAAAGCTGGGCACTTAAACACGAGCGAATTGCAAACTAGAGCATATTGACTTTAAATGAGCACTGTACTAGTTTTTATCCTCTGGCTGCTTCTAAAATGAAGATCCAGAGAGATATGGTACAGATCTGCATTCCTACAAGAGACAACTATTGTTAGCAAGAGACAGTCCTAAGCATCTGAAAGAATAAAAGCCTACAAAGTCCAAGGTACATATTCCAACACAGACAACTAAGCAGACTGCATCTTCTTGTGTCTTCCTTCTTATCATGTGAGCTACTGAGGAATGCAGTGAGCAAAGAGGACAGCACATCATCCAGTTTACTCTTCCCTGAATTAGCTTAAGGAGGTGGATCTTTGATCTCCAAAACCAGTATTTTCTCCACATCGCTAACTTGGAGCTGTCACAAGTTAACATTAATGTAGAAAAGATGCAAAGATTTTGTTATCTGTTTGTAGCTTCTATCATTAAGGATTTCAGGTCATCACAAATTGCAGAAACTGGGACACATTACCCCTTTCAACCACCTCCCTTTGTGCTCAGCTTCTAAGTCAGTATTTAGGCTGCTCGTTTCCTAAACACATCTCAGATTCCAAACATTTGGCAGGTAAGCCTAATTATTCAAAGTAAAACACAAGTTGCCAGACAGAGCTGGAACATGACACCCCTAATGAATAATCCTACCAAGCAGTTCCCCGCCTGCAGAGGCAGGTAATTCCAGTTTAGAACAACACTCTCTCATGCATTTACCTTGCTGGGGGCTTTCAAAGCAAAACAACCAGACAATTCCTCCTTCCCTGTCACACTAGCCAAGACCCTGTGGTCCTTCCCCTACCACGAAACAAGAGGGTGTTCCCCAGCACAAGAGGGATGTGCCGTGCCACAGCAACCACTGCCATCAGCTGAGCATCTGGGAAAACCAAATCTGAAGGGAGTTTTTTTTAGTTCTCTTCAATGGGAGACCGGCAGGATCCTTGACGGTTGCTGCAGGTTGACTCCCTCCTCCCCCAGGGACCCCACCCTTTGAAACACTTGAGGCACAACAGCCAAACTAGAGAAATCACGTCACAGGATCACCAAGGGCCAGCAGCTCCCTGAGGGACGTGGTGCTGACGGGGATCTTTTGGATGGCTGGGCAGGGGCCTCGCTGGCCAGGGCCCACCCTCCATAGCACCTGAGCGAGGCGAGCAGGACAGACCTGAGATGGCAACACCAAGTTGAGAACAGACTCCAACCCAGTTATTGCATGGGGTGTCAATAGTCACGGCTCTTCTCCCCGCTTTGAGTACCAAATGAATCCTAGCCTGTTGATCTGTTCTTGCATCTCCAGCGTGCTTTAAAAATGCCAAGCTATTTAAAAAAGCAAAACAACAACCAATTTATCCCCAGCCTGTAAAAGTTAAGTGGAGACGAAACAGCTAAAGACCTTGTAAAATAAGCAAGAATTGTAAAATAACAGTAATTCTTGTTTTGTTAAAAAACAGAGTGATTTACCATTTAGGGCACATCTCTCCTAGGGCTTATTTTGCATTAGAATACCATAGCTTCTGTAATCAACAGCATTTCCATTCCTAGAGTAGTATTTCCATCCAAGCAGCTATTTTGTATCTTTTTTAATAAAAGAATAACCTCCCCCAGGAGGATCAGACATCCAACTTTAAAACAGTAAACAAAGTTCTTTATTCTCTGCCTATGGAACAATTTAAATCAGTCTGGAAATAATATAAAATTGCAGGAGATTATTACTTCCACTAAAACAGCCCCTCTTCAAAAACACTGAAAACATGTACATCAAATCATCATTCTCCCAGAGATACTCTTTGTTCAGCAGAATGCAGCACAGGCTATTCAGGCTACTGCTTACTCCAGGCTACTGTCAGATGCCAAATTTGAGGGGTTTTGCAATGCACAAAGGCTGGATTCTCCACCAGTGGACATACTTGTCCTCAGTCAACCCCAGCACAGACAAAGCTCAAGTGTATCAACTCCTGTGGAACACATTACAAGTCTGGGCATAATTAATGGCATTGGACAACAATGCTAATTGAATTAAGTGCGGATTCTCTCTCCTCCTACTACTCTGTTTAAATTACTTGTTAAGGCTTCAACCTCTGCAAAGCATGAGATTATTTGTAAGTGCAAAGCAGGCAAACATCGGTTTTATCAGAGCCAAGCCTCACGCTGACGTTCTGCCCCACTCAGGTCTGCACCTCCAGCTCAGTCATGTCCTCAAGCTTGTTACCTGTTGGAGGTACACAGAGGCGAAAGGGAGACAAAACAGGCAAGTCTGCAGGAACACATCCATTCAAGAAGTTTATCCTGAGATCTGCATCAGATTGGTATCCCAATGGGACATCAAAGAAGAAAAAAAATAATTGGTGGAGCTTGTTAACTTGGTATATTTCTCCAGTAAGAGATCCAGCTCCCCAGCAGCTGA